TATGGGGCCTTTGCAATAGAAAGGGCCCAAACTTTCCAAAAATCAAAAATGAGTTTTTTCAAGATTCAAATAAATTTCAAATCAGATTACATTTTTCAATTATAAATGGAAATTGGTTTATATAATAAAAAATCAAAATATTTAAAAAAAATTTTTTAGAAGACTTGTAAATCACGAGATTACCCAATATAACTAACCAATCATATCATAAAATTTTTGATAAACCTGAATTAGTCCAAAAAAGATAAACATGATTATATCAAATTTATATATTTTCAAGTTTCGGCTCTTTTTATTGCAAAGGCCCTATATAATAATGAATATATACTTTTTATAACTTAAAAAAATGTTATAGGTTTAATTATATTGCAAAAAGTGTTAAACCTGTAATCTTTAAGATATTTAAATATACTAGAAACCAGAAACCGGTATAAGTTTAGAGTTCTAAAAAGTCTTGTTATTGTCTAGAGCAAAGTAACAGACTTATATTTTTATACTCTTTGATGACTAAAATTACATTTTTGATAATTTATAGTAAAAATATTAAAAATATAGGTTTGGTATTTTCCAGATATAATACCTCTAAAAAATTTGATTTATGATATATATAATAAGACTTTTCAAAAGCTAAAACGAGTTCCAGACTTATATTAGTTTTTAGTTTCTAGTGAATATTATAAATTAAAATTTTCAGGAGCATTATATTCAGAAAATACTAAAACTACATTTTTAATATTTAGTAGGCAGCATTATATATATAATGCTGCCTATTTACATTGGGTTGTTACCTACTTATGAATATATATTGTTATCTACTTATGGGTTTATTGTTATCTACTTGTTTTATAGCTACTCATTTTGACCTCTATTAAGCTTGTGTCATCATTCGAGTGATGAACAATTCGCACTTGCATTGTCAGATATATTAGTATTCGCTTCATAATTCGAATGATGAACGATTCATGCTTGCATCATCATTTGAGTGATGATGGGATCATATATCTGTCATCATTCGAGTGACGACGGGATCATATATCTGTCATCATTCGAGTGACGATGGGTTTACATATATGTCGTCACTTGAGTGACAATTAGTTTATAAGTCTGCCCTGTAAAAAAAATTAAACTTAACTTTTCCATAACTTCTCCATATATGAATTCTATGTATTTTCCATTTAAATTACTAAATAATAACATCCGTGCTTTTTCAATAAATGTTGCATATTTGCGAAGTATTCATGGAATAACTTTAGTAAAATAATGGAAATTATACAAAAATTTTACTGAACCTATATAATGGTAAAGTAAAAATTATATTAATTATGGAAATTAGTTGGAGAGCTTGCTCAAATTTATATGATTATAAAAGGTAAATTCATAGAAAATTCTTTTATACTATATAATATAGATAATTTACTGATAATATTATAGAATGAATATTGAAACTTTACTGAATTTTTATGAAAATCTATATATATAGAAAAAGTTGGAACTTTTTTTATAATAATCATAGAATAAATTTGGAAGCGCCATGGAAATAAAACAATACATATACGAAAACATTACTGAACTTCTATAAATAAAAAGCTATAAACATATGCAATATGTACAGCTCTTTGAGCAAATCTAATCCTTTCTTTTAATTTTTGGTCTTTTTACCAGCCCTTACACTATGCGAGGAAGTCTTTTTTGCTGCTTGTTCTCTTTCCTCTTTTTGCCTATATAAAGAATAAATTAGACACTATAGTATGAACGTATAAAAAAATACCATATATTGTAAGATAATTTATTAAGTACCAGAATCTTGGGCATCACCTTCAACTATTTTCGATACTGTTTTAATATTATTAAATTTTCGCACAGAAGAACGAAGACTTTTTCTTAGTGATGGCAACACGTTATTCTCTGGGATTACAGTACTTTGTTCTATATTTGATAAAAGATCGAATATATATATATTGTATATTAATGGTAGGTCTGAAGTTTTATATCTTACCATTATTTTCGAGATTTCTAACATTCAAATAATCGTTGACTTTAATATTTGTGCTACGCGGTCGTATGGGGACCGAGTTTCTTTTTTTTGACTTATTTTTCTTAAGTGTTGAGGCATTTTCTTGATCAACATCAGTATGTAATGCACTGCTTGCAGTCATTAAAGCATCAGGTTCAAGTACACTCTCATTTGTATTATCTTGGTCATTCTCCGAAATTACAATACCTTGTTCTATATTTGATAAAAGATCGAATTTTTATTATTATTATTTTTTTTGTAATATTAACGGTAGATCTGAAGTTTTATATCTTACCATTATCTTCAAGATTTCTAATATTCTTATGATTGTCGATTTTAATATTTGTACTATGCGGTCACATAGGAACCAAGTTTCTTTTTTTTGACTTATTTTTTACAAGGGTGAATGTATTTTCTTGACCATTATCAGCATGTAATGCACTACTTGTAGTCGTTAAGGCATCAGGTTCAAGTATACTCTCATTTGTATTATCTTGGCCGTACTCCGAAATTACAGTACCTTGTTCTAAATTTGATAAAAGATCGAATTTTTTTTTTTTTTTTTTTTTTGTGATATTAATGGTAGGTTTTAAGTTTTATACCTTACCATCATTTTCGAGATTTCTAATATTTTAATAATCGTTGACTTTAATATTTGTGCTACACGGTCGCATGGGGGCCGAGTTTCTTTTTTTTGACTTATTTTTTTTAAGTGTTGAGGTGTTTTCTTGACCAATATCAACATTCGAAAATGCACTGCTTGCAGTCGTTAAAGCATCAGGCTCATCATCTGTATTATCTTGGCCATCCTCACTGCCTGGTTCTATATTTGATAAAGATCGAATATATATATAATAGTGATGTTAATGGTAGGTATGAAGTTTTATATCTTACCATCATTTTCGAGATTTCTAACATTTTGATGATCGTTAACTTTAAAATTTGTGCTACGAGATCACATGGGGGCCGTGTTTCTTTTTTTTGACTTATTTTTCTTGAGTGATGATGTGTTTTTTTGACCAATATCAGCATGTAAAAATGCACTGCTTAAAATATCAGATTCATCATCTGTATTATCTTGGCCGTCCCCCGATATTGCAGTACCTTGTTCTAAATTTAATAAGAGATTGAATATATATATTTTTTCGTAATATTAATTGCAAGCCTAAAGATTTATATCTTACCATTTTTGAGATTTCTATTTTTCTGATAATCGTTAACTTTAATATTTGTACTATGATTGTTAACATTAATATTTGTACTACGATCATTAACTTTAATATTTGTACTATGATCATTAACTTTAATATTTGTACTACACGGTTGCGAGTTTCTTCTTTTCAGCATATTTTTCATGAGAGTTGATGTATTTTTTTGACTAATTTTAGCACTGTTTGTAGTCGTTAAGGCATCAGATTCTACACTCTCATCTGTATTATCTTGTCCAAAGATCATTAAAAGTTTTAGATTCTTGCTGCTATTTTTTTTTTTTATAGTAGCACTAGGCTAATGTAATTATTACCATTAATGTTATCATTGTTTTCAAAGGGGCTTTGTGCATTATCAGACATCTCATCTGTGTCACTTTGATCTGGGGTACTTTCAACATCTATACAATTGGTGTTACATCTTCTAATAGGAGGTTGGACGTTCTTTTTTTTTGGTGGTAGAGCGTACCCTTTTGCCCTTGCTTCAATGGTCTTTTTTTTTTTCTTGATCAACTATTATAATAAAAGATCAAAGTAAAAGATTAGAATATAACCGATACTTATGTAAGATTATAAACAAATACATACCCATACTATTGCAATATGAAGTAAGCCAATCGTGAAGAACAAAACCAGCTTCAGAGACTAGAAATGTTGAATTCGCCTCATTAAACTATTATAGATAATCAAATATTAGTATTAGCATTTTTTACTTATATAAATATAAAAAATTTCAATCTTACTTCTTTTATAACTTCTTCAGCCTTTCCTTTTGGTTGGCGGGTTAATGATACACTATGCAAGAATTGAGAAGCAGCACGATTTCGCAGATCATTCTATGATAAAAATGATATAAAAATGATTCAAAGCAATAATGATAAAACATACTCTAAAATTCAACTATTATTTTTTTTGTCATGATAAAAATTTACTCTAAAATTCAAATATTGTTTTTTGTCAAGTTTTAAGAACTCATTCCACTGTACATCCTTTTTAATTCTTTTTTGGGATTCCTTATAATTTTCGTATTCACTAAGCTTAATTGGGTTCATTGTAGATCCCTTTGGAAACTAAAAAATTTTTACATTATTTATTTAGCTTTAGGCTAAATTAAAATTCGCAAAAAAAAAAAAAAAAAAAAAACCTGTTCATTAGCTATACCACGCACAGCACTACATGCATCCACTGCAAGAAAAGGTTCAATCGCAATTAGTACGGAATATAACTGACGATGTTGCTCATGATTTAGCACATTAGGTAGAGTTGGATCTAAATCAAATAGTTCAAGAAAAAACTGGCGACGCTAATCAGCGCTAAGGGTATGAATATTTATTGAAAGGTTGTTTTGTGGCATTCTTATAATAGTTCTAATCACAAATAATAACAAGTTTTTTTATAATTGCAATGGCGATTAGAAAACACAAGAAAGAGAAAAACAAAGTAAATTTTATTTATGATATCATTTATATATCATTTTAAGTATCATAAGCTATTTGAAATTAGCTAATGATTTTTTTGTGATCACAACTATAATCATTAAATAAATAAATTTAAAATATGAAAAATCGATTTCTTTTCACTTTCTTATTTCTTATACGAATGGATAAAAAAGTTCTTTGTACATGTATTTGGTGCCTACATGATTCAGATAATCAAGGCAAATTAGTTAGTAGGTCAACTCATACAAGACATTTATCAAAACAAAAAAAAACTTGGCCTAATTTGACTGATATGCCCATTCAACAGCGACATCTAGTCACTCCTATTTCTTTAGCAGTTGTATCAACATCATCATTTGCCATCCCAACAATATCATTATTATGTAATAGTCAAGACAGAAATAACCAAAACTATGTAGAATTGAATAACTTTGAAAGTCACGAAAACACTATGGAAGAGATATTTGATGAAAATAGTGAAAGTGAATACGAATATGATAATGAGAAAGATAGCGAAAATTATAATGATGAATATAATGATGAATATAATAGAGAAGATGATGAAGAATATAGTGAGAAGTGTGATGAGGAATATAGTGAAAAATATGATGAGGAGGATAGTGATAAAGAATTCAATAGCGAATACGTAAATTTTGATAAGCTTATCGTTAAAACATTTTCAATCCTTTTATATTACTTACATGTATTAAAAATTATTTTAGAGAACTTATTTAAAGGCTTGCAACTTTTCCAAATTAAAAACAAGTATAATATTTCAGAGGCGGCGTTTAATGAAATTCTTAAAACTTTAGAGATTTCTGGAGTTACTCTTTATAGACTTCAAAAGCTTCTTGGAAATATTGTACCTTTTAAACCAACACTTGTAGACTGTTGCTTTAATTCGTGTGTGGCATTTACTGGTGAGCTTGTTGATAAAGATCACTGTCCAGAATGTAATGAGCCTCGTTACAATTTCAGCAAAATGTCTAGAGTATCAAGAAAAAATGCCGCTTACTGGTCAATTATAAGTTTACTTCAAAAACAGTATAAAGACAAAACACGAGCCGAAGCTCTTCACTACCGACATACCTATACTTCAACACAAGAGTATTTGGGTGGTAACCAAATAGGTGATATCTTTGATGGTCTTCATTATAAATCCTTAGTTTCTTCTGGGTTTTTTTCTGACCATCGAGATGTTGCTCTCATGGCATCTACTGACGGATATCAGATCTTTCGTCAAAAGCAAGATGATTGCTGGATCATTCTTTTTATAAATGCAAACCTACCGCCTGATATACGTGTTCTGCATGAAAATTTAATGATCTCTGCGCTTATCCCAGGACCAAAAGCACCAAAAAATTTTAATTCTTTTTTGCGGCCGCTAGTTAACGAATTAAAACAGCTACAAGGTATTATTAATAAATATATCTTAATTTGTCTTATTTCAATTAATTATATATATTGAAATTTTTTTAATAAAAATTTAAAAGGTGTTCAGTGTGTTGATGGCGTAATAGGGAAAACTTTTACTCTTCGTGCACATGTTTTAAGTTGGTCTGGAGATATTCCGGCACTTGCTAAAGTAATGTACACAACTGGGCATAATTCTTATAAAGCTTGTCACTTTTGTTTTATTCGTGGAGTATGCTGTAAAGAGAACCGGCATATATACTTTCCACTTAAGCCACCAAGAAATATATTAGGATGTTAATATAACCCTAAGAACCTCCCATTACGAACTCATAAAGATTATTTGGAGGATATTTCTGCTATAGAGCATTCAAATAGATCATCACATAAACGTGAAGTTCAAGAGAGAGGTAAGCTATTAATTCTGTACACTTATAAAATATTCTAGAATAATTAGTTTATTTACTTTTAGGTATTAATGGTCGAAGTATCTTATTTGAACTTAAGTCAATCAAGTTTCCAGATTCATTTCCAGTTGATATAATGCACGGATTGTTCGAAAACATTGCTCCAGCAATGCTTCGGCATTGGGTTGGTTCTTTTTTTAAGGATAATCAAATTTCAAATTCTGAATATGTTATTTCCAATAATGTTTGGACAGGAATTGGAAATATAATGGAAAAAAATCGAAGACGCATGCCATTAAGTTTTGGTCGTCCACCTATTAATATTCAGTGACATTCGGCAGCATTTAAAGCAGAGCATTGGCTAAACTGGATAACATTATATTCAATTTCACTTTTACAAAACAATCTGCCAGAACGGTATGCTTATAAATAACATTATTGGTATTAGTAATTTCAAAAATTTTTACATATTTTTTTTATATTATTAGATATTTGAATGGGTGGGCAAAATTTGTACATGCTGTAAAGCTCTGTCTCAAATATAAAATTAGTATAGCCGAGTCAGTAGAAATTGAGAGGTTTTTTTGTGAGTTTGTTGTGCACTATGAGAAGTATGTTTAAGTTATATAATTTTATTCAATAAATATATTTAATACCTTTAATATGTTAATCAACTTTTTTTTTTTTATTGAATATCTATAATTTTATAGAGAATATCTTCAGAATGATTCAAGACAACTTCCAGCCGCACTTATTTCTTACCATTATTTGCTACATATTGCTACTTCAATTCGCAATACTGGACCCGCATGGTCAATGTGGCAGTACCCAATGGAAAGGTTGTGCAGAATGTTATTGCCACTAGTTCGTTCACAACAACATCCCTATACTAACCTCTGAAATCAGATTACATTGTGGAATCAATTTTCACTTCTTCAATTTAAAACTGAAATAAATAAAAAGCTTTTTGTTAGAAATTTAGAAGAAACACCAAATTATTCCAAAAGCCATGGTTTTATTATTGAGGATGTTGAAGAGAAGCTGTATTCATTATCTTCTAGCTATCAAATGAATAAAACTGAGATATAGCGTCTTAAGGCTTATTATACAACAGCATTAAATAAACCTATAAATCAGCTAAAAGTAAGTTGTTTGCTTAGTCTATCTTATTTATAAAAGGATTTTATTTTCTCACATATATTTTTTAAGTCGATTACGAATTCAGTTCAGAAATATGGAAAACTTCAAATGAAGCAGGGTTTAATCATAAATTCAAGACTATCAAACCGTAAAGGTGATGTGGCACATATAAATTTTTGTATTGCCGTATGTATATTATTAAATTTTTAATAGAACAGTTGAACCTCCATAAGTGCAGCTCTTGAGATCAATTTTAACAAAGTGTACTTAAATAAAAGTGTATTTATAGAGGTCATATATGTATTTTTTGGGCCAGAATTTATATATTTGAAAGGGTGCACTTATGAAGGTTTAACTATATTTTATTTTTATTTGAGATATTTTTTAATATTATGATTAATATATAGCATTACTGTTTTAGGCCAAGCTTTTAGTTGACCGTAATGCTCATTATATAAATACACCAATTGTCTTAGAAATGCAAAAATTTTTTGGCGAAGTGTGTTATTTTTTCTTGCACCAATATGATGATCAATGGTCAATATTAGCATATATACAGTGGATTCGCAACCCCTATCTTTCTAAACATGGGATATTAAAATTCTGTGATCTTGGCTCATTTGAAGTAATTAATGTTAATGCCATTGATAGAAATGTTGGATTTCTGAAATTGTCTAACAACAAAATATATATTATCGATAAAGAAAATCAAGTCAAGTTTCATTAGCTTATATTAAACAAAAGGAAAAATGCTTAAACTTATCTGATATTTTTTTTTTTTGATAATTTCCATATTATTTTTATTATATTAGCTTTTTTTTCTTATGATAGAGAAATAAATTTTACATTAATATATATTCCGTTTTAATTCTGTATCTAAGTATAAAAAATTTTGCTTATAAAAAATTCTGCAAAAAATATTCTAAGTATATTCCATTTTATTTCTATATTTAAGTGCAAGAGAACATTCTATAAATTATTAATAAATAATATTATAGAAAAAATCCAGATAGGGTACTTGTCTAGTTGCTGTTCTTTATAAATATATGGGAATTTTAAGGAGCTATAGTCAAATTTATGGAAATATAATAGACATATTCCGGAGTTCATTTTTTATAGGGCCAGACCTTCTTGATCCTTCGTTAGCTACAGAGAAAATTAAAATTTATAAGTAGCTAACTTTTTTATTCCCATCATCTTCATCCCCACCACTACCTTCTTTGTCTTTATTATCTTCATCCCTACCACCATCTTCTTCATCTTTATTATCTTCATCTTTATTATGTTTTTTGTCTTTACCTTCTTTGCTTTCAACTTTTTCATCTTCAACTACTTCATCTTCATCTTTAAAGTTAGCTTCACGCTTTACTAAAACAAACTCTACAAAAAAAGAGTTAATATTAGAAGTTGAACACCTGAATAAAACAGTTAAGCACTTATGAGAAGAGCTTGAAACCTTAAAAAATCCTGGTACTAGCCCTTTGCATCTAATATTTAAGTATTCTCTGTGTAATATTTCCAAAGATCCAGAAATCAAAGAAGAGCAAAGTGAATTATAGCCACCCAGAGAAAAAAAAGAAAACTATCTCTTTTTTCCAGCTTCTTATAAATGAAAAATCCTTGCAACAGTTAGGAGAAGCAGAGAAAGTGGCAGAAAAAATGATCCAAGAAAAGCAACATAAAAAAGAAGTTGCTGCCCAAAAAAAAATAGCTCGTGAGGCAGAAAAAGTACAAAAACAAGAAGCACAAAGACAAAAAAAGAATTAAAAAAGAATGTATGAAAGAGAAAAAGCAGCATTTTATAGGTGCCAAATGATCTAAGTAAAAAAAAATTTTTTAAGTAGTACTGGTACACCAATTTAGAATAATCTCTTGTGATCGAGATTTTTTGATAGATTTCTTAAATAGAATAAGGTTCTACCTTTTTGGGATAAAAATTTTTTTTTTAAATAAAAGGCTATTTTGGAATGTAATATAACATAGTTAGTAAAAATTTAGATATTTATTTTAATGATTTTTTAAAAATTTACTAATAGCAAAGTTAACTATGCCAAATTAGGCATATCTACCTTATATTATATTTGCAAAACTGATTTTTTTTTTTTTTTTGATATTAAGGTAATCTCTTTGGCTATTTGAAGTGTTTTTTTATTAGTAGTCAATTATATATATAGTTTTATAATAAAGTTATAACTAGCCATATGTGTATCTTTTAGATGCTTATTTAAATAGTCTGCTTGCAGGTACTAGCTACTATATCTGTAACTTATCTAGGAGGTTGTCTATTTAACTCTTCTAGTTATAACTATATGTAGGTATCTCCTACTAATTCTAAGATTTCTATCTAATTGTTTCTAACAGATTTTACATTTTACCTTAGAACTTCTATATAGGTTGGAACCAGTTTTAAAAATTCAAGTTTATCACATAAAAATTCAAGTTTATCACACCAAAGTTCAAGTTTATCACTTCAATCATTAATGATTGAAGTGATAAACTCGAATTTTGGTGTGATAAACTTGAATTTTTATGTGATAAACTCGAATTTTTAAAACCGGTTCCAACCTCTACTACCAGATATTATAAAACCACCAACTCGTTCAATATATTTAAGATGTTTCTCTTCAAATAAACCAGCACATAGATACTTTTTACATGATGGTTCATCTTGAGAATCAGAAACTGTAAAGAATTTCCTTAAATCTTGAAATCCTTTGTTTTTAATATATTTGCTATTAGACACATGGGATTTAATTCGTGACTTATTATAGTTTCTTTTTGGTTTAATTAGTTTTCTGCAATGTTTGCAACATATGCATAGTGAACCCAAAATTTCAAGTATATCCGGATGATTAGCCAACTCTGCTTGCTAAAAATACAAAACTAATTAGATAGATATTAATATAAATAACATCTTTGATGCTATTCTTACCTTTTCTAAAATAGTTTTTGGATTTATTTTACAATTTCGTTTTTTTTTAGACATATGTTCTTCGGATACAACTGATCTATTATTTGAATACTCATCATCCGTTGTTTCATAGTTATAGGATGTTTCATAACAGTCTGGAAATTCATTATCGGATGTCTTATAACAGTTTAGCAATTCATTATCAGATGTTTCATAACAGTCTGGCAATTCATTGTCAGACTGTAAAAATTCAGTTTGAGCAAGCAATAGGTCTAAATCCATCAAGAAAAATTTAATTGCAACAAAAAGTGTCCATTTAACCACAAAAGCCTTTGATTACAGAAGATATTATATGAAACTCTAGAAAAATATCTTAACCACAGCAAATTTTTTTTTTTCTTTTTTTTTTTTTTACTTCTTTTTCTTTCTTTAATTACATGAAACTTCTAACTATTCTAATACAAGAATTTAATTTTTGACTCTGGTAAAGCTTCTTAGCTCTAGCAAGCTTCCGATTAAGGTAAAACTTTTTAATCACATAAGATTCTTGTCCACCGCTAAACCTTTAATCATGCAAACCACAGCACGAAGATACCTTCGATCACTTGTAATTTTTGTTTGTGACGAAGCCTTGTCTACAGCAAAACTTCTGGCCACAGAACTTTCGGCTGCTTGAAATTTTTATCATAGCGAAGCTATTATTAGTTGAAATGTGCGAAATTTGGACATTTATACAAATTATCTAGCCAATCATAAGAGAATTTGATGCCCAGAGTGTAATTTCAAATTTTAGCCAGCATTAAGTTTAATGCGGGCCAAAATTTGAAATATACTCCCGATTATTAAAACATAATATATCTAATATGGATTTTTTTAACATATTAGATATTCGGTTCAATAAAAATATGTCCACTTTTAGGTACACAACCTTATTTACTAATGCCGATTTTATAATACTAGTTTTATTCAAAATGCCTTATTAATAATATAACTTTTGAAAATAATTTAAGAATTCTTGTCCGGTTTAATAATAGTACCCTTATTAGTATTATCCGGGGTCCTGTTAGAACAATGTAGGAACTATTAGTAAAATTTTACGAGAAACATTTTTAATTAGGCCGCAGGTGATTTCCTAATTAAAATTTAGAACTTTTCTTGTTTTTTTGTAAAAAAGTGATTTCGCTTGATTTTTACGTCAGGGAATTACCCACTAAATAACAATAGTGTACTTTAATACTTTAATAAATTTTATTAAAAATATATAATACTTTATTATTAAGTCTATCGTATTTGGTCAGCTCGAAGCACCGTGATCTGGGTCACTTCCCACTACTATAGATATACAAATTGTTTATAATGAATTCATAGTAAAAAATAATGATTTTCTATATATTTTTATCTTTTGCATGTTTGTTAATGAACGTTGGCTATAATAAAAATCGAGTAATCAACACAAGATTTCGATGAAGCAAAGGTAACTACCCTTTTATTTTAGTTTATTTGAGACAAAAAATATAAAATACGCGAACTTTCTATTATAAGTATAAAATTCTAGCGTTAAAATCAGTTTCTTTAACATCTTAAATATAAATATAATCGCGTTTATGAAATCATGACTTGAGAGCGTCTTTGATGCGTGCGTCTCTATTCTCATCAGTGTCACACGCAACTGTAGTTCCGGGCTTGTTTACTAGTGGCAACACATGACACTTCATTTCGTTCATGCATTTTGATAAGATGAAGTTTCCACCGACACAAGTAGCAACTTTATCTTCAACACAAGCATTCTGGCCCTCAGTACAACTTGAACTCGCAGTTAAAGATTTAAAAATTTCCTCTAAAGCAACCGCATCTATCGCATTTTGTTTACGGAATGAATCATTCTTGTTCATCGGAAAGTTATGGGGTTCGTTTTTATTCTGAGATGGAGGCGGAACTGTATCATTTTTATTTTGAGGTGGAGGTGGGGCAGTTTCGTCTTTATTTTGAGATGGAAGCTTAGTTGTTTCGTTTTTATTCAGAGGGGGAAGTTGCGTTTCGTTTTTATTTTGAGGTGGAGGTGAGGTTGTTTCGTTCTTATTTTGAGGTGGAAGTTGAGTTTCGTTTTTATTCTGAGGTGGAAGTTGAGTTTTTTCGTTTTTATTTTGAGGTAGAAGTTGGGTTTCGTTTCTATTTTGAGGTGGAGGTGAGGCTGTTTCGTTTTTATTCTGAGGTGGAAGTTGGGATTTGTTTTTATTTTTGGGCGGATTTTGGGTTGTTCCGTTTTGATTCTGAGGTGGATGCGGAACTGTTTTATTTTGAAGTGGAAGTTGAGTTTCGTTTTTATTCTGGGGTGGATTTTGAGTTGTTTCGTTTTTATTCTGAGGTGGAAGTTGAGTTGTTTTGTTTTTATTCTGAGGTGAATTTTGAGATGTTTTATTTTTATTCTGAGGTGGATTTTGAGTTGTTTTGTTTTTATTCTGAGGTGGATTTTGAGCTGTTTTATTTTTATTCTGGGGTTGATTTTGAGTTGTTTCGTTTTTATTCTGAGGTGGATTTTGAGTAGTTTCGTTTTTATTCTGAGATGGATTTTGATTTTTATTTTGAGATGGATTTTGAGCTGTTTTATTTTTATTTTGATGAGTTGTTTCGTTTTTATTCTGAGGTGGAAGTTGAATTGTTTCGTTTTTGTTCTGAGGTGGATTTTGCGTTGGTTTATTTTTGTTCTGAGGTGGATATTGATCTGTTTTATTTTTATTCTGAGATGGATTTTGAGTTGTTTCGTTTTTATTCTGAGATGGAAGTTGAGCTGTTTCGTTTTTATTCTGAGATGGAGGTGGAGCTGTTTCGCTTTTATTCTGAGGTGGAAGTTGAGTGGCCTCATTTTTGTTCTGAGATAGATTTCTAAAAGATAAATTATATATCATATTACGTTTGTTAGGCATGATCGCGGTGACACATGAAGTTCGATCATCTTTAACGCATCTAAAAATTAAATCTTTAGTAGAAACGATAGAGTCTCTTTTGTTATTGATATAAAAGTTGATCTTATCATGATTATGAAAATCCAAAGGCATTGCAGCATAATGGCCCGCATAAACCGCAATAATAACAATATAGAAGCAACTATGAAGCAAGATTTGGTATGAATTGACCATCTTAGTTTATAAAAATTACGAATAAAATTATTTACTTATAAATTTTGGCCCTTGGCATAGGGCTCTTATATAAAATTTTTCTGCTATGTCGTAAGTTTGCTTATAATTCGACTTTACTTCAAATTTAGGAATTATACTATTATTATTGAGAACTTTTAAAATCTGACACAGATTTTTTTCAATAATTGCAATATGATACATTAATCTAAGCCACGTACAAAGACACTAATCTTCAAACAGAATATTTTTTATATAGTTACCTTCTACAAAACCGAATTTGAGGATTAAACAATAAACATTCATTAACGAATGTTCCTTTCATTAATCAAACTTAATCAAACTATAAGGAAAATCTAAACTCACACGATTAGTTTATCCAAATTTCGCGGTCATGTTTATGCAATTGCATCATAAACATTATATATGTGTATACTCAGCATAAAATGTCGTTCATAAAGACATCATATTTCTTACGTATATGTGAAGATTATAATTTCTTTTGTGCATATTTATAAAAAAAGGTTTTATTTCATATTTTTTATTCAGAACCTTTTTTTGCACTTTTTTATCTTTGATCCCAAGAATGTCCGAGGAGGTAATTTTGTTATTAGTGATCTAAATTAGTGAAAGTTCAACATGTTTTGTTTCAGTTATACTTATTTATCGATATGTAAATTTATATTCTAATCAAAGTCTAAGCCATCGCCTTCCAAAAAGCGTCAACGAACTTTTAATGTTGATGATCCGTCTCCACCTGTTTTTTCGTCAGTTAATACAGATTCCGCCGACGCCAATGGAACTAGACGTCCACGTTCTAATTGGACTCAAGAAGAAGATGAGGCCTTATTTAAGGCTGTAAGCGAAGTTATGCAAGGAAAATGGAAAGAAGTTTGTTCTAAATCACCTCTGCTCGAAAGTCGTGGTACTGGTATGGTTGCACAGAGATTTAAGACAAAACTTAGGTATTTTACTGGTGGTGTTGCTGCTGGTGGGAAAAAATGATTATATGTATTGAAAAATAACCGTAAAACATTTATTATTTTATTTAAATTTTTCTTAATGCGTTTAAAACTTATAATTAGATTATGATATTTACGTTATGTACTTTCATTAATTATAATTAATCCTTCAATATTCAAATTAATATTCAAATTTTGGTAACTTTTGTTTAATGCATATAATAAGTTTATTTGTAATATAATATTAAAAAAGTTTTCTATTGGGACCTGTTGCATGAGTTACTGTAGATGGTACGTATAAAATAATAATAATAATATATATAATAATAATGTTGCTGAGACATTTAATGTTACTAAGACATATCATAGTTAGCATTGTATTATGTCGTCATTGCAGCTGGTTTTTCATTAAACATTATACCAAGCTTGGTGTTACGTAAAATATATTTTATTCATGACTGCATTGTGTTAATAATTTATCCTGTTATTATACTGATACTCGTCCTACGTATATATTTTAGTGGTGGTAGAAAAAAACTTTTTATTAAAACAAAAAGTAATACTGCATGTGTTTGATTAGCGACATCCATGTTACGATTAGACATGACCTATAATTTTATTTTTTCGTGTAACAATACTATTTTTCAAACTCAGTAGGCTAGCATACGTATTTTCGATATCAGCAAATTATTTGATTTACTGCTGATTAACCATAAGTCCGAATTTGTATAAAATTTAAAAATTTATCTAATAAAAAACTTGCGATTTTGAAAAAAAAAAAGTACTAAAAAAAAAAATTGGTTTTTATGTGCAAATATATAGCCTATGATATTTTATTTCTTTGAACTATTGAAATATAAAATATTTTATTATATTTGCTAAAAATTTCATCACGTATGCTTGAAAAGTGCATTTTCTATAATCAAAGCAAATCGAAACAAATCGCAGTAAACCACATGCTTTTTGTGATTTTCTTCGATCACAGCAAATCACAAAATCCACAGGTCCCTGACGTATTTTACTAACTATTGTCACAGGCTAAAAGTGATATTTCCGAAATTTGGACTATCAATCGTGAAAGAAATCAGCTAATCACGAATCCGGAAACGTCGATCTTAAAGACAGTTCCCGAAGGTTAATTACGCGTACGATCTTCCTGACGATCTTGATGAGTATAAAAATTTATTATTAAGGTGATATAACAATTAACTGTGTTCAGAATTATTAGAAGACGAAATTCAAGACTTATCTGCAATTTTGAAAATTAGGACGAATATAAATGGTATAATTACTCCGAGTATCTGAAAATTTCAAAGAAACAAGTGATAATAACATTTATATTTTCATAACTGGTACAATGTTAATTGGTTCTTACAAACAATTGATAAAGAATTTCATAATTAAATAATTGATAATCATAACATTGATCAATTAATTCAACAAACACAACCGAATGCAAGGACATTATTGAATAAATAAACTTTAGTAAATTTAAAAATACAAAGTATCTTTGCTAAGGGAGGCTTTGGTATTGTTTTAAGTCAATACAAAGTGATAGGTACATCAAAGGATTCGATTTTGATAAGGATGTATGGAAGAGAAGTTCGAAAATAAATGTGTTCAAAAAGTCTTGATAATTCTAAAGAAATAAATCATGAATTTATAGAAGTTATAAATCAAAACAAACATGAAGGTGTTTTGGCTATTGCGATTTACAGAATAACTAAGAGCCTAAAAGATAATAACTACATGATTGCCAGGGAGTAGGAGAAGCAGCTGATGAATTTAAGACAATTCATAATGCTAATTTAATGCATAAAGATTTTCCTTCTAGAAATATAATTTGTTAAAATATTTTTATTACATTATTGATATTGGTATATATAGGCCAGCAGAACTCAATTTCTAATGAGATTTGTGGTGTAATTTCTTACATTGAACTAGAAGTGTTGTATAAAAACACCATACTCAAAAATCAAATATTTATTCTTTCAAAATAATTATGTCAGAAGTTTTTAATCTATATTCTTTATATTATGATATTCTACAAATTGAAGATATAGCAACACATATTTGTAAAAGTACCAAATCTAAAATTTGGAACAAAGTTTGCTAATTGTTTTTAGATCTGACAAATAAGTGCTTAAATACAGAACCTCAAAACAGACTAGCTACTAAAGAATTAGCTAATATAATATACTACTATTTTTTTTCTAAAAACTGAATAATTAAACCACTAAAATAAAAAGATACTACTAGGAAAATGTTGTAATCATTTTACTTAAATTTATCAAGATGATTTGCAATTAGTAAGAAATAATAATTTGAACCTGTATTATTGAATAGGAAATTGTCAATTTTAAAAAACTGGCTCAATGGAAATTTTTTTAATTTTAAAGACTACTTTATGAGATTGTTTGCTTTTATATATATTATTTTCAGATACTTAGTGTTGATTTTATTAAAAATATACAGTACAATATTATTGAAAAAGACCTACTCTCCTCTTCTATGGAAAATTTACTATGACCCTATCCTTACTTACATATCTCATAAATACAATAACCATTTTCTTAAAATCTCATCATCTTCTCCACTTGATATAATTTCAAACACATCCCCAACTACTATTACAATCCCACCACTAGCATATATGGATGATACTGTATGGCATTGTGAAAACCCAGAAACCTTACAAAATATTCTTAATGATGCCGCTATATTATACAAACTAAACAATATCGAAGTAAACCCAACCAAGTTTAATCTACTTCATATTCTTTCTAAAAACTCCAAAACAACAAATTAACTTACAATAACCAAATAATTACTTCTAAAAAACCTGAAGATGTAATTAGATATTTAGGTATCTTCTATGATGGTAAAGGATCAACCAAACCAACTCTTGATACACTATACAGCAAAATAGAAAACTTCTTACTCCTTATTAAATACAAAAAACTCTTACCCTCTCAAATCTCCTCACTTTTCAATCTTATATTACAACCTTCCTTAGAATATCTGCTTTAAATTATACCTATCCAAAAAAATATACAAACTAAACTCTCTCGATTACTATCCATACAAACAAAAAAAATGCTCTCATTAGCCAAAAACACCAACAATATCTCACTTACCAATCCACTCACCTTTAATCTACCTACTTTTACTAACATAATTCAAAAAGTTAGCATATCTAATACTGAATGCATCTTTAATACCTCTTCAATTCTTCATAATATTGGTATTATTCAAGTAAGTCTTGGCTAACAAAAATATAGCACCCGAAACTTACTGAAGAAACACTGCTTACACATTTTCGTAAAATACAAAACTATACTCTTCTTTTTTATCTTGCTCAATTAGCAAGAAACAAAATAACAATCTCCTTACCCTCTTCAATCACCAGTTATTCTACTTCTGTTCCTAAACACACACACTTAATTTACAATATACTTCTTCCGTCCCCTAATAATCTTATACTCAACAGTCTCAAAAATAACAGAGTCCTATTCATAGAACAAATTACAATAGCAAATAACAATTCTTTACTCCCTTGAAATAATATTTATCTTTGTACAAACAAAGCAACTAGAGGGTGTCAACCTTTATGGTTTATTCGCCTCCTACAAATGATACAAACTAACTCTCTTCAAGCTACATAGCCTCAACTTCAACTACCTCCAATAAACAGCTTTATTAATACAACTGACCTAATACCTTCAGTGGACACCAATTTTCTAATTCAACTCCTTTCTAACAATCAAGATATTACTTTCTTACATTATAACAAATATCAAGAAACCTTAAATTATAAAATATATCAATTAGCAGATCCACTTGAAGGCCAAACATACTTAATAGAATCTATTAACTTATTACCAAGCTTCAAACCTATAAACCTTCTATACAAACAAATTAAGTTTAAAAATTCTTTATTACAAATTGATTACAAAAAAA